TCGCATGGCCGGGCTGATGGTAGGGCGGCTTGTGTTCACACGGTGCTTCTTGCCTCAGTTTCCCTTACAGCAGGGTTGGTGCAAGGGAAGGGGCAGGGCAGCACGCAGACCCCACGTTGCCTCCAGGCTTTCCTTTTGCATTAGTACCTCTGGCTCCATGGCTGCTCTGGAGGGAGAGCAGGGGATTTGACGTGTAGCTCTGAGCTGCGCCTTGGCTGTAGATAGGACAGGGTTTCTGCCCCATCCTCCAGGAGGGTAGTGTAGGACTTGATGGCTGGGGCAGCCAGGTTGCTCCATCTTGTAGAGGCATCTTGGAGAATGCTGTTTCCTGGCAGACGGTTGGGCTGCCTGTTGGCTCAGCAGAGGAGCAGAGTGTGGGACTGGGAAGATGGAGTCGGGCTGTGCTCTGTGCATTGAGGTATCCATGCTTATATGCAAGCTGCTGCTGAGCTGTTTCTTGTCTCCAGGCAAACACAGAGCCGCCAAAATTGAGCCGAGAGGAGCAGCGGGGGCGTGGGGCCCTGCTGCAGGACATTTGTAAAGGGACCAAGCTAAAGAAAGTCACACAAATCAATGACCGGAGTGCACCAATCCTGGAGAGTGAGTACCTGCCTGGCACGTCCCTGGGATGCTCTCAGCTTCTCTGAGCCCTGTGCTGGGTGCTGCCATGGCCTTCAGGATGACTTCCTGGCTTCACTCATGTCATTTCCAGCGCCTCCTACTTGGAGGAGGCTGATAACACTGGACCTAACCTCTCTGCTTCTCTCTTTCCAGAGCCCAAGAGTAGTGGAGGCAGCAGCTATGGTTCTGGCTCAGCTGTGATCCAGCCAAAAGGAGGCCTCTTCCAAGGTGGTGTCCCCAAGCTCAGACCTGTAGGAGCAAAGGACAGCTCAGGTAATGGCCACGTGACCGTGCTTTGCCCTGGGAAGATCCCTGAGCAGAGAAGGGTCGAGGATCTTGCTGGGTTTGCCTGGAGGTTTCAGCTAGCTAAAGAGAGGGACCCCAAATCAACCTCCCACATGTTGCCACGGGCAAGCTGTGTTCTCTGTGCTGTACTGTCCCCATAGGAATAATCTCTTTGGAGGGCCTGGGAGTCATATGTGTTGTTGAACACTTCTGTCTATTTTTTGTGGCAACCTGCCTTCCAGCAAGCCAGAGAGCGAATAGCAGTGGTGAGAGAGGAGCTGTGTGTGGTTGAGAGCGGTGCCAGCTCCCTGCCTGTGCCAGACAGTGTTCCCCGAGGTCTGGCCCTTGTCGGTAGAGTGGGCAGGTTGCCACGTGCTGCGCGCAGGCTCTGGGATGAAGCATTGTCTGTTGCTCTCACTGATTCTCAGCCTGTGCTGGGTCTGGCGAGTCACTCTGCTTTCCTTCCACCGCAGACAGCTCCAGTAAGCAAACCCTGCAAGTCCCCGGCTCCAGAGCAGCTGCCCCCAGGCCCCCGGTGCCCACCAGCAACAGCCGACCTCAAGATGATTCTGACAACAGTCGGGGC